GTTAAAAAATGCATTGAGAAACAGAGCAAGTGTTTCAGCCAGTGACCTCTGACTAGGGATTGAATTGGTGGTTGGATTTGGATAAATTAATGGAGTTTTGTGGTCCTTTTTTGAATGCCACATCAGTGGGTTGTCAGTGGGTTCTTAAATGAACTTAAGCACTGCTTGGGAAAAATGGTTGATTGTGTTTTCTCTGCTTTCTGTTGGAAAGGCAGGGAGAATCTGACCCAGCAGCTGTGGTGAGCAGGACTGATGGACTGAGCATCTGAGCAGCACCTTGGCAAAACCTGAGCAGGTGCTACTGCTGCCAACCACACAGCTCAGGTCAGAAGATGTGGAAGAAAGCTGGGGTTACTGGAAATTGGGCACAATTTACAGGTGATATGGGAGGGAGCTGAGGCAGAAGTGCATGTGAGTAGTCCAGAAATGAGAGTAGGGTATTGTGGGTGTGTGAGACAGAGAAGAGGAATTGAAGGCTTGGAGAGGGGTTCACAGATGTGGAGGAACTGTGAAGGGTAGCAAGGGCAGGAACTGTGAAATTGTGTCAGAGGGAGAGAAATCAGATTTCATTTATTCTGTTACCCTTGGACAAACTCATTAAAACTTTGCCATCTGGTGCAGAGGTTGTTAAGTGACAAATTTTGACCCAAAAGAAGTAGGTTAGCAGTTTCTTACCCAGGTTCCTCTGAAGCTTCAGCAGAGCTGAACCATCCAGTCTGGGTACCATTCCAGCAGTTCCAGTGCTAACACCATTCCCTGACTTCTGTGGTTCAGTTTGCACCAGTTTCCCTCATGGCAGCTGGATTGGTGCTGCATTCACATCACTCTGGGGCGAACATGTGCACACAAAGCAGGGCATGCCAAGAATTTAGAGAGTTTGGGCAATATTATAGGAAAAACTAGCAAACTTCAATCAGCAAATAACGAATAAAAATAGCTAATAAAATAAATACCAGGTTTTATGACAGCAAAAAGTCAAACTTGCTTTAAAACTATTTCTTCTGAAGGGGAGAGTGCCTTCCTAACCCCTACAGGAAAATGCTTTCACTGGAATTTGGGAGAAGGGTGCAAGAGGCAGCATTATCTGGCAAATTGAGTTGCAGGAAAGGCTTTGATGCCTGTGCCCTCCCAAGCTAGTCCATGCCCAGCAGGGATTCCTGCACCCTGGTGCAGGGTGGGGACCTTGAAGCCCCATAGCCCCACTCCTTGGGCAACTGCTGCACCTCTGAGGCCTCCATGTTGAGGGCTGGGGCACCTCAGATTTGGGTATTGTGGTTTTCAACATCACAGCACCCATGTCTGGCCTCAGCCTTGCACACTGAAAAGCTTTACCAGCTAAATATTTCATTGACTGCCTAGCCTGTGCCTGGCTGTAGTCATTTCAAATGGATGCTCTGCATTTAAAAACACTGACTGCTTTGCCTCAGCCCAACATAATCAGCTGTCTTGCAAACTCGAAAGGTAATGAAATATTAAATCTGTTTTGACACCCAGAAATAAATATGGGCTCGAGATTCTTGTCACATGTATCTCCCTCTGTTAGCTCCCTGTCCCTGCCACATGACACTGAGGTGCTGCTGCTCAGGCCAAGGCTTGTTGTTGGGTGGTGGCACAGGAGATGAGCAGTGCACTAGACCAGACTGTTATTTATTGGGATGCAGTGAAGTGATCCAGGCAGGCACCAGCTGTGCCTGCAGCCTGTGGAATGTCTGCCCCACGGCACCAAGTTGCTCAGTGGGAGCTGCATTAATTTAAAAGCTGAAGATAAAAGTAGAAACTTGCATTAGAAACCAGGCTAGAATAATAAAGACCACAGTAGGCATAAGCCTATACAAAGATATTTATCATTTAGTTACAAAATTGTTGTTTAAAAACAGGATGTAGTTTAAAAGTCACTGTTGTAGCAATACCACTGTGTTAATGCAAGGTGACTGTGCCTTTCCAGTACTTGGTCTTGTTTTAATTCTCATGGCCAGGAGTTTATTTGATTTTCTCCTCTGGCCACCTATAGATGAGCTAAAACAGATTTGCACAAGATCTGCCCAGGTCCCAAGTCAATGCTCCTTGAAATCAGAGGGCACAGTGTCGCCAGCTTTAACAGGTTTTGGGTCAAGCTCCTCAGACCTGCCCCTGCAAACCCTTGCAGCCCCTGCTGAGTGCCCAAGGGGCTTAATCCTGCCTGGGCAACTTGTCACTTAAAAATCACACCTGTAAGGACCTGGGAACTGCTGCTAGGGTTGAGCTTTGGTCTCCTGTTGCACCCCAGCCCCAGAAACTCTGCCTTTGGTCTCTAAGGGAGCATGGTTCCCATTAGAGCTAGATGAAATGACACAGCACACACAGTGTGTACAAACCCTGCATCCAGCACTTGGCAGCACAACGCTTTCTCCAGGCCCCAAGGCAGTAATTAGTAAAAGATGAGGGGTTTTTAATTCACAGGTGGACTGTTTGCAAGTAATGAGTGCAATATTGTGTGCTGTTGTTGGGTGGTCACAACAGCTGTGGCAGCAGTGCTTTTGTACAAGGAGCTGCTGGATTTTGTTTGTGGTGTGTGCAGGGGTGGCTGCCTGCTCCTTGTCCCCCAGCTTTCCAGGCTAGGGAGGGTTTCCCAGCCACTGGAGGAGCAGAGGGATGTTGTTCTTATTTTTGTGTACCTGTCCATCCCCTGGCTCTGCCTGCCCTGCACAGCCCCTCCAGCATGCAATGGATAATCTGTGAGTAGCAGCTACAGTTACAGTGGTGCTTCCCTTGATGAATGTTACCAGTGCAGTGTTTTCTTTGGCTTTGAAAGCACTGCAAGAAATTCCTTGGCAAGGCAATGACTGACTGGAAATGTGTTAGAAACCTACTTGACAGCTGGAGACCTGCTTGGCAATGATCATTGAGGTGCTGCAGTGTGCCCAGGAGCAGGCAACAGAGCTGGGTGAAGGGGCTGAGGGAGCTGGGGGTGTCCAGCCTGGAGAAAAGCAGGCTCAGAGGAGATCTTATTGCTCCCTAAAACTACATGAAAGGAGGGTGCAGTGAGATGGCTTGGCCTCTTCTCCCAAATAACAGCAACAGATCCAGGGGAAATGGCCTCAGGTCGTGCCAGGAGAGGTTTAGGTTGGATATTAGAAAAAATTTCTTCATCAAAGGGATGGCCAAGCATTGTAACAATCTGCCCAGGGCAGTGGTGGAGGCACCATCCCTGGAGGTATTGAAAAGCTGCATAGGTGTGGCACTAAGGGACATGTTTTTGGGATGTGGTGGACAAGGCAGTGCCAGGTTATCAGTTGGACTTGATGACCCTGGAGGTCCTTTCCAATCTAAATGATTCTCTGATTCTATAAAACCTGCCTAAATAGATGGGAGACCTAGCCAGAGCCCAGCACAGGCACTGAAAGTGAGCGCTGACTGCAGTGAGGGGCTCGAGCACAGTGCCCAGCCCTGCAGCATCCCTGGCTTTTAGCCTGTTGCTGTAGGACAAGCCAGGGCCAGCATGAGCCTTGTGTCCCCAGGCTTGTCCCCATCAGGGCCAGGGGACTCCTGTGAGTCCTGGGGTGCTGTTTGCCAGCCCCAGCCAGATGTGAGCTCTGTGACAGCCTCCCAGAGGGGATGCCCAGGCATGCTCATGTGTATTGTACAGTAGTTTGGATGTCAAGAACTCCCCAAAAGCAGGAATGCTTTACCCAGGGTATCTGTGTGCAGCCTCTCTTACGAAATAGTTTTCATTTTTAGCATAGCTTTTATTTTTGAAAAATTGAAAATGCTATTTTAGTTTGCTCAGCTTTCATTCTGGAAGCTTTCCTTTGGAATGGGGATGTTTCCTAAAAAGCTTTGGTATAATGAATACTTCTCGGTGCTGGTACATTATTTGATGCTGTCTGACTGGATAAAATCAGAGAAGCATTACCCAGGCCTCTCCCCCAGTCTTTTCCACTGTTTTCTTTGCTTTAAAGCTCGCCAGTCCTTGGTGCTCAATGTGTTCTGGCACCTCAGAGCTGTCCCAGGGCTGAGGGGAACACGCAGTGGTGATGGCCCTAAGCTTTTATATGGCAACTCCATTCTTTGAACATCTTTTCCACATATCACAGAACTGTTAGGGTTGTTGGAAGGGGCCTCTGGAGAGCATCCAGCCTCCTGCCAAGGCAGGGTCACCTGGAGCAGGGGCACAGGAATGCACCCAGGTGGGTTTGGAATGTGTCTGGAGAAGCAGACTCTTCCACCTCACTGGGAAACTGTTCCAGTGCTCTGGCACCCTCAGTGTAAAGTTCTTCCTCATGTTGAGGTAGAACTTGTTGTGTTTTAGTTTGTGGCCACTGCTTCTCACCCTGTTGCTGGGCATCACTGGAAAGAGTCTGGCACCATCCTCTTGGCAGCTGCCTTTGAGTTATTTATATGTAATGATGAGATCCGCTCTCCATCTCTTCTCCTCTAGACTAAACTGGTCCAGCTCCCGCAGTCTCTCCTTGTGAGAGAGTGCTCCAGATCCCTCATCGTCTCTGTGCCCTCTGCTGGACCCTCTCCAGCAGCTCCTGGTGTTTTCTGTACCGAGGAGCCCAGACCTGGACGCAGCGCTCCAGATGTGCCTCACTAGGGCCGAGTAGAGAGGGAGGAGGATTTAAAGGAGGAGAAGCCAATGAGCGGCGCCTTTCCTGCCTGGGTGATTTTCCCCTTTTCCCTTATTTTAAATGGCAGGGCCGGTGCCGGCGCTGGGGCGGGGCGGGAGCTCCGAGGCCGGGGCCGCTCGGGGGCTGCGGGCCGGGCTCAGGTGCCGGCGGGGGCCGGGTCGGGGCCGCGGCACCGCCGCTCCCGGCTCGGCGGCGCTCCCGCCCCCGGCCCCGCCCGGCCCCGCCGCCGCCGCCCCGGGGAGGGCGGGGAGCGCCCGGCGGAGCGGCGGGAGCGGCGGCGGGCGCGGGGCCCTCCCGGCGCTACCTGTGCGAGCGCCGCGGGGCCGGGCGGGGCCGGGAGCGCTCCGGCATGGACTTTGACGGTGGGTTTGCGTCTTTGCCGTGCAGGAGCCCGCAGGAGGCGGCGGCGTCGGTGGGACGAGGGCCGGATCCCGCGGGCACCGCCGGAGGAAGGGGCAGCCCGGCGGCCGGGGACCGTGCGCGGCGGGGCCACGCTTCCAGCACGCTGCTCGCACGGACACCGCCCCGCCGCGCCGGTATGTGCCCGGCTCCATCGGCCCGAGCCGCGCCGGGGCCGGGAGGGAGCGGGGATGCGCGGCCGCACCCGCGGGGCCGTGGGCAGCGCTGGCCTCGGGGAGAGGGGAGACGGAGCCGGGCTCTGAGCTGGGGTCTGCCCGGACAGCCGGCGGTGCTGCTGTCCTGCTCCTCCCGTCCTCTCGCTGCGAGGTGCCGGCCGCCGACTCCTCCGAACTGAGCAAAGCGAAGGTGCCGCTCCCGCTGGGCACCCTGAGGAAAGGTGGTGCTACGGACAGCAGTGAGACAGATGCGGAGTGGGAAGGTGAACGGCGTGGCTGGTTCTCTCCAGGCGCTGTTCCTGCTGTGGGAAAGACGTGAGGCTGCTGTGTTTGCCGGCCGAGGTGATGTGAGGGTCTGTCAGCCCCTGCTTTGCCATGAGCATCTTTCCAGGCTTCCACACTGACTCTTATACAGAGCAGGTTATCTTCATTTGGCGTGTTATAAAATACAGATTTAATAATGCAGGACTCATCATGGTAAAAATTCTTAAACATTTAGAAATATTTTATGCTTTCTCATAGTTCAGTAAGTAGCAGTCCAAATTAGGTTTCTAAATATAGTAATTTTAAAAAAGGAAAAAATGTAGAGATTTATCCTGTAGGCTTAACAAAGTGGCATTTTTAACCTTCAACTACATACAAATTAGTTTTCTTGTGAACATCGCGTTCTGCTGGGCACGTTCTTGCTTTAAAATCACCTTGGTTGGTACAAGTTGCCCGAGGGGTTGGGCAGAGCCTCGGGACGCTCCTGTCCCTGGGGACAAGGTGTTTCCGTGGGCAGGGTCCGGGGGACAGGGCTGTGCGGGCGCGGCTGCCTCGCCTGGCTCCCGGCCCTTCCCGCTGCCAGGCGCGAAGGCGGCAATGCTGGGAGCAGGAGCTGGCACATCAGGAGGGGTGGAATTCAAGGAACCAAATACCGGGGGAGAGCCGTGAGACAGAGTGGTTTTTAAGGCTGACATAGTTCTTTGTTGCAATTTGGGGCAGCTTTTGTGCAGCTGGAGCATCTGGTTGTTTGCTCCTCACTTTGTCCTCTTACTCCTCAGTTTGTGTGAGTCAGTAGTAATATAGTTGTGATTTAAAATGTGGGGCTGTGTTTTCCTGTGCCTTCTTATGTGAGATGTGGAAAGATGGCTTTCCTGGTGCATTCCTAATTCCCATTTCCCTTTTTATAATGGGCTTCTGGAGATTAAAGAGCAGAATGGGCTTGTGTGCTGCCTTTATTGTGCTCTTCTGTGGTTCATCTTGGGCAGATCTTGACCGTCTCCTTCCTTCTGACTTTCATTTGTGTTACTCCAGCGGAGCCTTCAGCTTCCTGAGGGTGTCACAAAGGCAGGCAGTGTCCCTCATTCATACCTTATGCTCTGCAGCTCCATATGTTCGTGGTTGAATCTTGTGACAGCCGCTACAATAAAGCCCGACCCTGTCAGCCTGAGACACCGATCGGCTGCTCTCGCCGCTGCTGCTGCTCCTCAGCTCCTGCTGGCAGGATCCCCAGGCTGGGCAGCAGCCAGCAAGAGCTGCAGGAGGGGCTTTTCTTGCTCGTAAGGATTTGTGCATCCCTTTTCATTGTCTGCAGCTCTGTCTCTGCCAGGCACCTGTGGAGGACAGTGATGCACTTTTACAAACCAGGCTGGATCCTGAGCCTTAGTCTCAGAGTTAACAGCTCAATGTCTCAATGTGGTCCTGAAGACGACTGTTGGTAGGGAGGCTGTGACTGCATAATGGAGTTGTTGGGATGAAGTTTTGTGGTATATGTAGGAAAATTCCTGTTTCCACTCTAGTTGGTTACAGTGTTGCAGCACTGTAATAAACCAAGAGGCTGCTCTGTCTGGGCCCAGGGCTTTGCCTTACAGCAGTCTGACCTCAGTGTAGGACTTGGCCAGTGTCTCTGACACCTTTGCTGGTGTGCTTTGTGATTTCCCCTGCTGTGGGGATGGTCTCTAGACTGTGGATTTGCAGCTAGTACAGATAGGAAGGGCTGATAATTACAAGAGCTGTGGGCTTTGCTGAAAGAAGTGTTGGACCTGCATCCTCTGGTGTGATGCAGGGCAAGGAAAAAGCTGTACCTATAGATCAAAAACTTTATATCTGTTTCTGCTATTTTGTTTCTGTTCACTTACCAGTTTTGAGCATTATTTTGCATTTGGGATCTTGGAGAATTTTGGATCTCCTCTATCACTATTAGCTTTCCCTTCCAAAGGCATTCCTCTATAGTTTCTGTAGTTGGGTTCCTTAAACCTTGACTAAACTTCCTGCAGATGGAGTTTCTGAGAAGCCTTGAATCTTCTTCATGCCCTTTCTTCTCCAGCCTCACTCCAAGGCCTTTCTTGGTAAGGAAATCCATTGGTTCACTGTTACCCACCTAGAAAGCAGGCTTCCATCAATGGTAGGCATCCTTCTCCTGCTCCTGTGGGGGTAGTTAAATTAATGTTCCCTCTTGTCCATGGCAGAGTCTGTACTGGTGCATGCATGTGTTCTGAGAAATTGGGGAAAATCCATCAATACATTGTAAGCATTTCTGTCCAAATTTGGACTGACAGCAGCCTATACAGCTGTTTGGACAAGCAGCTGAGGTAAAATATGAACAGAACCTGTAAGAGGCTTTTAGCATCCTGTTCTCCCATGGCCTTTGGGCTGCCCCCTGAGCTGTGTTGCTGGGCAGAGGCACTCACACTGTGTGTGCAGCTCTGGTGAATAAACTGCTGCACTGGAGGGAGGATTTCAGGACAGGCCAACTGGGTACAGTTTTACTTTCATGAAATTAGACAGCTACCAAGCACACAGTGTTCTTTGCTTTTAACAAGACTTCTTCTTCCTGCATGAGGAATAACACTGTGGCTGCTGAGGGCTGTACCTACTGGCATTGCTGTTCTCTGAACTACTGGTATTTTCACTCAAAGGCTTCTTTTGGTGTTTCATCTTGGTTTGCTGCTCCCAAAGCTTGGGTAAGATTGCTAGAATAGGGCAGAAAGCACTTGTTTTTGTTCCTGGTTTCTGTGGTTGTGTGTCTTGGAGAGGGGTCAGACTGTTTCTTGATTTTGTGGGGGCTTTTGCCTTTTTTAATTTTTATTTTAAGTCAGTACTAGTTTTAGATTTCCAGAGTTTCTCAGCATAAAAACTCACATTGACACAGCTGTACTATTTAGCAGCAAAAACACCCCACTTGCACTGTGCATGTAAATCACAAAGTGAAGTAAAAAGAAACATTTTCTTCTCTCTTGTTTTTCCCTCTAGTTTGAAGATTTTCATGTTCCTTAACTGCATTGCTAAAGTGCTTGAGAGATGAAATTTGACATGGAAATTGCTTCCATTAAGTAACTCAGTACTGTGACAAAGGAGTTTGTAGGCAGGTGGGGCTCAGTCTCTTCTCTCAGGTAACAAGCAATAGATCCAGACAAAATTACCTCAGGTTGTGCCAGGAGAGGTTTAGTTTGGGTGTTAGCAAAGATTCTTCACTGAGAGGATGCCCAGGATGTGCAGATGTGGCCCTTAGGGACGAGTTTCAGCTGTGGCCGTGGCACTGCTGGGATAATGGATAGGACTTGATCTGAAAGGCTTTTCCAACCAAACCAAATTTATGATTCTGTGATCAGCTGTTCTCTCATTGAAAAAACTGTTAAAGTAAACTAGAAGTCTGCCTGATTTGGAAAAGCAAATGTATTATTCTCCCATTCATTTAGAAACTGGCTTAGAAGCCTGGAAAGGCTTTATCAATTCTGGCCATGGAGAGGGAAAAACCCAAGCCTTTGAAATTCCAGGACTTTCCTTGAGATAACCAGGAAACTTTCCCTTCCATGCTAATCCTGCACAGCAGTTGTTTGCAGTTGCTGCATGCAGCCTTTTCCAATCTGTAGCTCTTATCTCTTGTTGGCACTAAGCGACAGGAGAGGGAGGGGATGGCTCTGAGAGCAATGAGAGCTCCATTTCTGCTTTTCATGTCCTGAGCTGTTTTGGGATATTTGGGTATCAGTGATTGCCTGAGGCAGCAGAATCTTTGGTATTGTGTTTGTCTTAAAGTAACTGTAGCTGTTTAAACCTTCCTTTTCCTATGATGAGTTGTTCTAATAAACGTCAGGCAGTGCATCTCCTGTGTAGGATTTGCAGGAAGCTGGATGTTCAGGAGAGCAGAACTGAAGGCCTGGTGGGTTGGACTGCTCTGGGAGCCTCTGCCTGGGGCTGCTTTGCACAGGGAGCTCAGAGTCCTGCAGGGATGGAGGGGATGCTGTGCACTGAGTGAATGATTCATGCCTTTGCCAGTTGTGTGCTGCTGCTCTGCTCACAGCTGAGAGGATCCAAGCTGAGCCCACCTTGGTAGGGAGAGGGGTGTCCTGGGTTCCTCTCTGTAATACATGGAGGGTATCAATATTTAGAGTGATTGGGTGCAGTTCAGAGGTGCAGATGCAGGTAGGTCACCTGCCCAAACTCCAGCTTTGAATAGCTTTGTTCCAGACTTTATTGTTTCCATGCTAATGGCACCACTGTCATTGTCTGATTGTTCTCCCTGAGTCCTTGGATGATCCAGGTCTCAGTAGAAGCTTTGAGAGGGAGAAGGGAAAACAGGAGGGAACTTTTGAGGTTAGGCAACAGATGGGGCACAGTACCCTTCCCATATCCTTGCTGAAATCCCCCTGACCTGGCCTTGCTGTGGGAGGAGGTTGGCATCCTAGAGATGGTCAGGAGCCACTTGCCCAAGCAGTGGCCCCACTCTGAGCCCAGCATTAGGTGCTGTGTATAAATTGTTGCAGCCTGTCATTCAATCTAATTTATTAAGTGCTGTATCATCCTTTTACCTTTGTCAAAGTCAAGTTCTGAGTTCTGGGAGAAAAGGCAGGCAGCCTTGTGCAAGGCCAGCACCACAGATTCATCACCTTGCTGGTGAATATTGTGCACCCCTGACACCCTGGAGGGTGCTAAGCTCTGTTCCTGGGTTCCCTTTGCAGAGTCCCAGACGTGAAGCTGTCTGTGCTCTCCTGGGGACGAGGGGACAACCTGTTAGAAGCAGACGTGGTTCTGGTAAGTGGCACTCTGAGCTTCTCCTGCAGAATCCCAGGGGAAAGCTGAAAGGCTCCCTGCTGGAGGAGGAATCACATTTGAACCAAAAAGTTTGGCTCTGTCACAGCAGGAATTACTTGCTGCCTTCAGCTAGGCAAGGCTGCACATTTTGAAGCTGTTTTGAAAACTTTGGCTTATTTTTAATCTGGTGACTGTTGTAACATAAAGTGTTCCAGAAAGCAGTTTCCTATAGCGTTAGATTGAACTTCAAGGTTTTTTCCTGAGGTTCTCATGGAATGAAAACGTGTAGATGACAGCAGGAACTTACCTGCTTATGATGGCTACAGATGTTGCATAACAGCAAAACACTTGCTCTTCTGCCTGTTTTCATCTTATGCTGGTGTATTCCAGAGGCCAGTGAAACCCTTAATTTTTGATATTGCACATTTACCTTTCTTCAGTTATTTTCATTGAGTATTTTAATGCTTTTTAAAATCCTATTTATTTTTTTAAATGGCAGTTATGTGATTAATGCTTTTTTCCTCTATTTCATATTGTCTAATAGTGAATTGCAGGCATCCTTTCACCATTTTTTTTGTTTCCTTCAGTAGTTAGAAATGAATTTACCTTGGCAGGAAACACTTTGCCAGGCTGGCAAAGAGACTGCTTAGCCCTAGTGTGCCTGCTGAGTTCAGCTACCACCCCCTCAAAATTTTCTCTCTCCTAGTATTACCACAGTAAATAAAGTATTAGGTGAAAAAACCTCTGAACTTATCCTTGGGAACTTCCAATTCCAATATGGAATTGATTGTTTTCAAGACTTCCATTAAAGTCATACACAGTGTTGTGCTGAAGTTAAATGAAGCATTTAAAAACATTTTGACTGCGCACCCAGTAAAATGGAGCACAACTAGTAGCCTGTATTTTTCAGATGAATAAATCAGCATTTCACCTACTGTAAAATCTGTCTCTAAAAGGAGAAGATGAGTTCTGGTTTCTGATGGTGCTGCTTTAGCTCCTGCTTGAGGGTGAGCAGAGCAAGCAGAGCTCGCTGACCCTGGCTCCAGCTAAGCCCAGCGGCTTTGTCACGTGAGGAGCTGCAGAGCTCTTGGCCTGAGCCCCAAACCATCCCTGCAGGGATGTCTGAGGCACAGCTGGGCACAGAGCAGGGCTTGGGCACTGACAGAAGCAGGCTCCTGTCACACAGTTTGGCCTTGTGCAGTTACAGGATGCAGCAGGGAGTAAAATGAGCTGCTCTGATTTGTTGGGTTTTTCCCTCTCAGGGTATGAGTGTTGTGAGGAAAGGTAGAGATGTTAAAATCTGTCAGAACTTAACACTCTGGAGATGAGTTAGGCAGAGAGGATTTAAACAGCATTTCACCATGTGTGTGCAGGCAAGGGCTGTCAGCAAAACAAGGAAGCAGCCAGAAGGTTGAGGGCAGCTTCATTTGCAATTATTTCTGTGCCAGCAATTATTAACTCCAGTAGACCAGGCACTGTAACACTCCCTTCAGTGGCTTGGAAAGTACTGAGCTCTGTAAAGAATGAAATGAGCAACAGGCAAGAATTTAAACTAGGGTCCATAACTTGGCTTTGAAGCTCAGCTCATTTGGAACAGTTGAATTGTATTGTGAATTGCCTTGCTGTCTGCAAGCTTTAAAGCCACTTGTCCTCTGTGTAGGACAGTCTCAGGAACGTTTGGCTTGGCCCAGGTGAAGAGGCAGAGGTGGTGAGTTCTGCAGAGGAAGATGCTCACCTCAGGGAATTTCTCCCTACCTGCTTTAAGGAGAAGTTTATCCTCCCTCTACTCCCATTCTGTCCTTTCCATTAGACACTAACTCATCTGCTGGTGTCCCCTAACAGAAATCTCCAGCTGCACACGGGAAGCATTAAAGCAATGATAAAATCCTAACTAAAGATAGCTTCTATTTAACAAACCTCCATTAAAAAACTTCAAAAAAAAAAACCCAAAAAGGAAAACTATAGCTCCAGACTTGGATAAAAACATCCAAATCTGAAAAGTCTATTTTAAGGAAAGTGTCAAGGATAAACTCTGATAAAAATACACTGCAGCTGTGTATTACCTTGGCTGGATCAAGACTGCAGCTTTCAGGCATCAGCAGTGCTGGGTGGTACCTGCTGCCAGTGATTCTTTACCATGTTCTTGGATCTACATATTTGTCCAGAAAAGCAAGTGGAAGTGATTAGTATTAATGTTTTATTGATGGTAAATATTGAAATTAGACATGCACAAGATATTACTATTAAAGCTTTGAATTATTCAGCTGCCTGAATTGCTTTCAGGCCTCTCTTTGGCCTCTGGTCTGGAGGCATGGTAAGTTTGATCAGTGTATGTTATGGATAGACATGGGTATAGACATAGAAATAAATGTAGTTTTTTGTGTAATAAGGGAATCCTGCTGTTAACTCATCTAATAACAAGTTATCCATCCAGTCTTTACACATTTAACGATGAGATATTGGAATAAAAATCTGATAGCTTGGCTCTCCTCTGTGTTGGGTAAAACTGCAAGTAGAGGTCAGCCCTTGGCAGCAGGGTTTGTGTTCCAGGCCTGTGGACTACAGTGCCTGTCCCAGAGCACTGGGCACGTGCTGCACAGGTCAGTGTGCACAAAGAGACTCACTGAACTGCACTGAGCTGGTCTGCAAACCTTCCTCTGCAGTGCTGAAATGTCCTGCTACACAGCTGAAGGTGTGGCACTGTTTGTGTGGACCTGGTGGTTTCTGGAGCCCTTTAGGGCTGACTTCCCGCCAGGAGTGCCAGCCACTCCTCCTGTGCTGCACTTCAGCCCTACAAACAGGTAGCAGTGGTTTTTATGAAGCAGCAAAGAGAGGACAGGAGCTTGTCCCAGGGATCTGGTTTTCCTGAGGCAACTGCTAGACTGGGGAAGTCCCATCCTACCTGTGAAGCACCATTTGCCTGCAAATGGGATTGATTTCCTCTGCAAATATTTGACTGTGATCAGGTTACTGGATTGGAGCCCCTATTTCCTCCAGTGTATAAAGGAAATAAATAAGGCTTAACATCTTTGCCATGATTGTGTTTTCAAAGGCTATTTACAAAAAATCTTTAACTTTGGCTGACCTTAGTGCAACGTCATTGGGTGAAGCTGCAGGGAACAGTTGGTTTCTGTGCTGTGCAGTCTTTATTTTGGCTGGCAGTCTGTTAACTCTGATAAGTGGGTAAGCGCATGCCAGGCAAAGTCAGGCGTAGCGTGAGATTCTGCTTTGCCTGAGAGGAAGTAGCCCCAGAAACAGCTTTGTAGGCCAGTAAACAAAAACCCATATTTGGAGTTGACCAATTCTGGATCTTGAGGGCTCGAAAAGGACTCTGCCAGGTGTTTTGTTGGTCACTGTCCCTTCTCTGGGTGTAAAGTCGTCCTGCTCTAGTGAGAATGGTGCTCTGGCTCTGTTGGAACTGCCTTGATCACAGCAGGCTGCTGCTGCTTTGCCTACCCTCTCCAGGGAAAAAACAAAACCAGCTCTTGTTCCTTGTGAATACCTTCTGGTGGCTGCCCTGCTCCAGCCTCCTTCAGCAACAGCAGAATGACACTGGGAATTAGTGTCATTGCGCCCAGAGGGCGTGTGACAGCCATGACATTGGACTCTGGCTATGGTGGTTGTGTGGTGCTGCTCTGGGGTGGTTTTGGTGTTTATTTCCAGCAGCACCAGTCCCTGGAGAGAAACAGCATTTGTTTGCACTTTCAGGAGAAAGGTAATGCATTGTCAGCTTGGAAGAAACAGACTTTATCGTTTTTTATAAGATTTTACATTCCTAGATGGCCTACATCCCGTAGTGGGAATTGCATTCAAAGGCAGCGTGAATTCAGGTCAAACTTTGCCTACTTGTAGTAGATGGATGTTACCGATAAAAACATTTTACGCACGCTGGGCAGAGATTTACTTAAGCCGCTTCTCCAAGCGCCTGTAGTGAATTTACGTTTCCTTTGAGCTCACTGAGAACGGTAACGTATTTATTGCCTTTATATGAAACACTGTTTTGACAGATTTCCTCGGAAGAAGCACAAAAGGAGATGTCCTGTTCTTTGAAAATAACTGGAGCCACCGGCAAGAAGCAGCGACGCCGCACCGAACAAGGGAACCGCTTCCAGGTTATCCCACCATGCTGCTGAACTGACTTTTGCAGCTGCACTTTCCAATGTACCATGGGATGCATCAAATCCAAGGCTGCCTTCCAAGGTTCCAACGCCGTGCAGGATGAGCGGATCGGGGCGGGCGGCGAGGGCTGTGCCGGAGAGAAGTCGTCGCTGCTGGCGGTGCAGGCGGAGGAGAAGGGCCCCTCGAGCGCCGCCGTGCTGGACTACGCGCACCGGCTCTCCCGGGAGATCCTGGAGCAGGCGGTCAAACAGTGGGCGGTGACCGAGAGCAAGTACAGCGACATCCCCTTCATCGAGAGCGACGTGCCCTGAGCCTCCTGCCAGCACAGCCCCTGCTGTCCCCTGGGCACCGCCGTGGGGAGGCGCCTGCAGGGAGAGCCTGAGAAATCTGCCTTTCAGCCTAGATTGCTAACAAACCACTTGGATCGCGGTAGAACCTGTCCATCAAGTGTCATTCCTTGTCAGCCATGTGTTGAGTGTACTCTGTCTTTGTACATGTTGGGTGTGAGCAGAAATCAGCGTTAGAAGGAGGATGAGAAGACTGTGGCTGCCCTGCACCTCTGCAAGCACTGCCACAGAGGGGAAAACGTGGATTATTTCTGTGTTCTGCATAAAAGATCAGTGGTCTGTCTGTAGGTGAGATGAACTCTCTGTGCTTGGTGATTTGTCTGCATTTTCCTAAGGTGAAATCAAGGTGTGCATGTAGCAAAGGTTACTGCTATCATAAATTTTTTACTTTTGATTCTGTGACCTAACCAAATCTGTAAAATCACAAAATGATGAAGGTGATGGGAGGCGCTTTGCAAACCCCAGTAGTATTCAGGAAGCCATTTGGATGATGATGCTCTTCACCTTCCATTGAAGTGAACCAGTGAGAAACGTGCCAGTGTCAATAAGCAGTGCATTATCATCAACAGATGCTTCTGTAAATGCTTGAGAGCTTGTCTCTAAAACCCTGCAGTAAGATAGGTTAATGACATCTGGTGCTGTGTTCAGACCAAAGCTGTTTGGTTTTTTGGTTTTGTTTGGGGTTTTTTGTGTTAGGGTGCCGGTTTGGAAGGATGTGGTTTTGTTGTTTTACTGTAACCCAGAGAGATGTGCAAACACTGCTGCTGGTAACTGGTGAAAGGAACCTTCAGAGGTGTGGCAGTGCTTTAGGACAGTTTGCTTCACGGCAGCTCTGCCTGCATTACACTGCAATTCCACTCTGTAGCACCACCCTTGGGATAGGACACCTTCCTTCAGCTTCTGCAGGCTGCTGCTTCCCCACGGGAAAAGCTGTCCATGGCAGTGCCAGCAGGAGCCACAGGAGCCCCAGCCCTGAGCAGTGCCCTGAGTGCAGAGTTGGGGACCAAGCCTTAGGCCCAAAGCTCAGGGGCTGCATTTCTCCCCAGTGCATCCCCACACAGCTCCCTGCTTGCCCAGGGCTCACAGCCGGACCCACTGCACTCACAGTGCACCACACACACACCAGGACACCGATGGATTGTAGCATTCATCCCAAAGGTACAATGTTGCTGATGCTTTATACAAAGTGAAGGCCTTCTAACAGCTTGGCTTTTACCACTTGTTCGTCCCTTTCTCTGTGATGCCCAGTTTAAAAGACGTAGTTCTTTTTCCTAGATCAAAATGTTTTCCATTTTGTTTTCATTTTATAGAGAAATGCTTTCCATACTGGCTAAAGCTGTTACTATTTTTACAAGGTACACATAGTTCTAGTAAATGATCCAAAGCATGATTTTTCAAGCAATGGGAAGCAAGCAGAAAGAGGGCAATGTCAAATGCTGTAGAAAGACAGTCCATGAATTGAGCTCTTTTGCAAATGTTGTGACACAAACTTAGGTATTTGAAATTCACCTATATGGGGAAGTGGTTTTATCAGGAATGGAGGGTGAAAAATGCTTCTGTGTGACACAGCACAAGGCTGCCATTAAATCCCAGTGACCAGACTGGATTCCCAGTGACCTGCCATTAAGGCTGTTCTCAGGCTTTTGCTGGAAAAGGGAACAAAATCAGCTTATGCTGGCATGTCGTGCTCTTTGAAGTTACGTAGTTGTCTTCAAAGCCATTTGCAAAGTGGGACTAAGGTTTTATGGTTCACTTAAATTCTCCTGATAAGTGACACTCCTTCAAATTCTACAGCACATATTTGATCATACTGTTTACTCTAAAATACCTCCATATATTAGTGGAAGTTAGAAAGCAAAGCCCAAACACTGATCAAGTCAGTACATATCAATTGGATATTGCTTAACCTCAGTATTAAAAAATATTAATATTCTTATTAGAGCTAAAATAAAGCTTTAATACAAAAAAGAAAAAAAAGGGCCAAACTTTCTAACACGAGTGTGGGCTTGAGAATGTGAACAGTGCTAACCACAGTAATTCAAATTAAAAAGCCAAAGCTGCACAGCCATTGTTGGCCAGGCAGGTGAGGGGCAGGCAGAAAGCTGCACTCGCTGTCAGAGCACCCTGAGGTGGGTCTGCCCTGGCCCTTGTACAAGGCACTCACAGACAGTGAGGTGCTGCAGTGCTTCCTGTTGCCACGTCTCAAATCCTTCCTCTGGGTGTAGCCTTAGCACCTGACACTCTTCAGGAATATCAGATGCCCTTTGGAGAGCAGTTCCCAGCTGGCAGGCTGCCACTGCACAGTCCAACAGCAGGCAGAGAGTGTTACAGCACAGCTGAGGTTCCACCAGAGCATCCCCTGTGACCAACACTTGGCATTTCCCAGAGGAGGGGTCACCCAGGCACCCTGAACGTGCCCCTGGGGCTGCTGCCCTGTGGGGTGGCTGCTCCCCGTGGGGTGGCTGCCCTGCCTGCCCCACAGCTGCCCCCGGGGTGACTCAGCACCAACTGCTTGGTGGCCCAGCCAGTCCCTCACCTGCAGCCACCAACCTCGGCCCTCGCTGGTGCCTGAAGATTTCAGCAGCTCCAGAGTGGCCCAAGTGCAATTCCAGCTGCTTTAGGATGCTTTCCATGACACTGGCACTCCAGTTCCAGCTGCTTTAGGATGCTTTCCATGACACTGGCACTTCAGGGAAGTGCAGCAAATGGAAAGCAAACAACAGGGAGACGGCTTCTCACCAGGAAAATCACCTCTTTTACAGGATGCTGTCCTTATAAATAATACACTTACCCTTAATAGAAAATAAATCTGTTCAGTGCTACAGTCTGGTAAGAGATGGAGGGAGACAACTCCCCAGAGCTCTGCTGTATGTACATTTAATAGGCACAATACTAATACATTGTAAAAATAAAGACTTCTTCACAAAAATAAATTTATGCTAAGCTGTGCTAGAGTTTTAGAGCCACTGACAGTGGGTTTCCAGCTAAGTTACCTTTGATTCTTTGATTTCATTTTGTGTAATAAAGGCACTCCAGTTTGGGATTGGCATACTCTGCAAAACTGTTTACTTCTATTTAGGAGTTAAAAATACATTTGCTTTATATTTTCTCCAGGAAACAAGATTAATCTGAGTGGGTATGATGTGACTGACTTGGTATTCTAATAATGGTTCAAAATACATTAACTGCAGCACAACTTTGTACAGTTGACGTTTCTGGACTAAGGCACATCAGTATTCCCAAATAAAACACACTACAATATATTTTTACAATATTTTTTGTGGAAAATATTTTCTTGTGGACCAAATAAAATTCAACTTACCATCTGCTTGTATGCCTTTTATTTGAAAAAAACACAGGATTGCAAAGATTGGACAGGATCTTGTTACCTTGAGCTTGGGACAATTCCTGTTCACATGAATTCTGGAAGCATCTGAACATGCAAGTCAAAGTTTATTAACTCAAAAGTATGTTCTTCCTAAGATCTTGTACAATCAGAGCAGGCATCATCCCTGCTCCCTGGGAATTACTGTGGTTTTCATTTAATATAGTTGGCTGAATATTGCTCCTTTTATACAAAAATAGTGGAATTATTAAGATAACCAATCTTTAAAAAATAAATTAAAAATAGCAATTGTTTATGAATGTAAAACATATAAAAATTTGAAATAATACAGGGGGAGCACTTCTTATGGGACCAGCTTGAGGTAGAAAGTCTTGTGACACTTTCAGACTTACCTAGAGGTTTTAATGAAATCTCAATTACTTTTGGAACTAAACTCAAGGACAGTCCCATAACAAGTATGTCCACAGTAACATAAACTCACAGCTGAAATTTTAATAATTTTATCTTATGAGACTCTAGTGCCAAAGCAAGGTGCCATTTTTTCTTGACTTAGCTCTCCATTTGCTCACCTCTGATTTTTTGACAGTCACTTTTGGCAGTTGAATTTCCTGGGCTTTGTTTCCAGGCACCAGCTCCTAGAAAGGAAGGAGCCTTAAGCCATTGCAGACCATTGCTGTTGGTCATAAAAACTGCCCAATGTTGAAAACTCCACAATGGTTCTGCTGCAGCTCTGAATTTTTCATTCCCCACTGCTGACTATGGTATTTGAACAGAAGTTTTCTTTCTTTGTTCTTCAGAGAAGCCAAAATTTGTACTTGTGACCTGCCTGTATGTGTAGAAGTAAGCAGAAAGAAACACTGCTATGTGCTCTGATGAAGTATAAAAAAGAAGGTGTAATGTTGAAGAAAGATTAGTAGCTGTCTGTATACAAAAGAAAAAATAATTTCCCTCCCACAAATACTTGTATCAAGGGGTTCTGGTTCTGTTGTGTAACTTCATGTCTTATCAGCATCAGAACCCCACCACCTTGAATGCACTGGAAATTGCTGCTTGGTGTTCACAGCAAGGTCTGAGGCGCTTGTTTCTTCACCACTGTAAGACCAAGAAAAGCCAGCAATTTTCTGAAATGGTGAAATACTGATTATGCAGTTGAATCAGACATAATGACATTTTAAAAAGTGGGCTATGCAAGCGAAGAGAAGTGTGCTTCAGGCTCTGGCAAGATTATCACATTTGAAACAATGTTTACATCACACAGCAAGGCTGAAAAATTACAAGTGTTTAATCAATAGAACAATTTCTTGTTCTCAGACTAATAATATATCAGTCTGAGCTTTTATTTAAAAGGATATTTAACACCATGGATTCTGTCTTGCATTTTCCTTTGTAGCTCTGACTGCATTAAAGGTTTAACCATATTTTATTTTCACTGTACACAGAAGAATCTGTAGCACAATCCCAATTTACCAGATCAGTGACAAAGCAAAGAACACAAAAGGTCCCTTTACTTTCTGCTTATTAGGTCACCCCTTAAACTGTGCTCTTTTGCCCAAGGGCTCCTCCTAAACTAAGAGTTGATGCAAAAAATTAAATGTTAATCACTCTGTAAAGCAGTAAAAATAACAATTTGCCTTGAAGTGATTTTTCCCATTATTAACCAGAGATACAGATATTTTCTCATTACAGAGAATGTTCCTGAATGCAAAAAAAAAAAAAAAAAAAAGAAAGAAAAATAGACTTGTGAATCTCAGCTAGCTAAAAAGTTTTGTCCAAATTGATCACACTGCAGTTAATTTTGGCATCACAGAATTAAGCAGATAGGTAAGATGCCAATAGCTTTGTTCTTTACAGCTTGAGATCATCGTTTCCCAGTGGTTTAAAACAATTGTCCACAAATTCATCGCTGACTTCTTCCAGAGCAGCTGGCTTCCATTTGGGGGACTGGTCCTTGTCAATCAGCACTGCCAGGGGAACAGAGAAACACCAAAGTTACTCATGCACTTCCTCCAATTAAAGTGACTTAAGATTGCAGCAAGACAGATCACTGCAGTGATTCCATGGGGGAGACAAATCTGTGTGCTCTGGAGAAGGCAGTTCCTGTAACACGGATCTTTCTACTCTAATCAAAGTTCCTGAGTTGTGACCTGCCCAGAGATGTCCCTGTCACAAGGAACAGTGAATCCCTTCAGAGCAGCCCAAGATTTGAAGGACCAGCCCTGAAATGAGTAGTTTGGTCAGACCTGCCACTCGTGGCTGACTTGCACTTCATGGGAGCCTGCAAATGGCGCTTCACAGTGCTGCTTTTGGACAAGGCTTTCACACCTCTGTGCAAAATCTGACTCTGGGGAGAGTACAGGAGATGACTCAGTGGTGCTAAGTGCCTAAAGCTAATTTAAACACATCACATTAATAATGAAATAACTCACGAGGAGAGAGTAAAGCAGGGTGTCTTTGTGGGAGCTGAGGGTGTTTATTTGTAAATACTGACAGCTGCTGAGGCATGGGTACATTTAACTGTGACAATCTGTATCACCTCAGTACACAGACTTTATGCTGCAGCCTGGGAAATAGAGCACTGGAGATAAAAACCACCACTGAGTGAATCACATGTAAAAGGCTAACAAGAAAATGCCAATTCCCAAAGAACATTCCCTGTGTCACAGGAATGTTGAAGGCATGTCAGCAATGGCTGCATTAGCAAACAGTAAAACAAGAGGGAGTTAATTTGTGTGTAAAAATTACCAGTATTAATGGAATTCCAGAGCACCCTTCCAAGCACCTTTCAGGCTTAAAGAAACCCATAAAGGTGCTACTGAAAATGTGACATTTATATCATTTAAAGAAGAACAGCTGCAAGAACTGTGGCTCCCAAGGATGTACTGATTACCAATTCCCTTCAGATGAGTGAGATCAGCACCCAATTTGGAGATGCACCTGTGGCCTGGGGGAGGCTTCTGACCAACACAGCCCACAGCATATAAGAGAGGATGGGCAGGAAGAGGGGGTACATTTCTAATTTCTCTCCTGAGAGTGGCTTTTATTTGTTTGCTTTTTGACAAAGAGTTTAGAAGAGGCTGGTTCTAAAGGCAGGTGAACTTACACTCACAGATATTTCCAAGAATAACAACTATTTTTGGGTAAGTTGCTATGCTTTTCTAAATGAGTTTGTTCTTACTGAGTGAACTAGAAATATCCAAGATGAGGAGTGTGTAAGGGGGTGGAATGTTGTGTTCAGTGAAAAGAGTACTTACCTAGAGACTGTGCTTATCGAAAAAACAGGCCTTGTGGTCTGCCCACCAACTTGTAGTAAAAAAAATGTGACCTGACAACTTCTCTTTAACTTTTCTGTCTTTAGCCAATGGTTGAAAATGGCTAGAAAATACACACAATTCAAATGACAACTGCACTAATTAATATTTCTGTAGCTGAAGATACACAGGCATACATCCCCACAGAGAAAGGCAAAGCAGAGCCCTGCACCTATTTCCTTGTAAACAGAGAACTAAGGACTCCTTAGAAACAAATTGTAAAAGGTAATCCATTACATGGGAAACTGCAATTCCACTGAAAACAGAATCCATGAGGACAGTTCTGTACAAGAAAAGTCCTGTAAAAGAGTGCTTTTACTGTGATGTTCAACTGGGTAGCTTACTGAAAAGCTGTGATCTTGCAGGGTATTTCTGAACACAGTGAAAACACTGATTGGCTTGGGTGAAAAGATGTAATTATCCCAAATCAGCTATGTTTATTCCGTTTTAATAAAAATTATCTACAGATTTTCTTCAATTTTAGTTGAAGTTCAGAGTCTAATTGTTATCTACAAGAGTCAACATTGACTTGAGATGGTTTAAATTAAAGAGGAAAATGTGTCCATGTGTTAGTACAGCTTCCCCTCTGTCTATTCAAGTTCATCTTCCTGTTTGGATCTGTGGCCAGTTTTACTCTGGAGGATAAACTCAATGCTCCTAATGGTCTTTCTAGTGGAGTCTTTAATCTTGCATGAGTCAAAATATTTGTTTTCTAGTAGAACCATGAAAATATTCCCTTTCTGCACTGACCTCTTTACATTTTGCATCTCTCCAGCCTGAGATCAATCA